GACTCTCAGTTTTCGACTTCCACGGTCTCGACTCTCGATATTCGACCTCCACGGTCTCGACACTCGATATTCAACCTCCACGGTCTCGACTCTCGGTTTTCGACCTCCGCGGTCTCGACTCTTGGTTTCCGACCCCGCGGTCTCGACTCTCGGTTTTCGACCTCCACGGTCTCGACTCTCGGTTTTCGACCTCCACAGTCTCGACTCTCGATATTCGACCTCCACGGTCTCGACGCTCGATATTCGACCTCCGCGGTCTCGATTCTCGGTTTTTGACTTTAGTGACAAATCATTTGGTTTTTGACCCCGATATCAGATCATTCAGTTTTCGACCTCCGTGGTCTTTTGGTTTTCGATCTTGAGATCTCAAAGCTCATTTGGAGGATATTTCAGTGGTTATTCAATGGTTATTCGACTTGCGATGCTCGATCTTAGTGACAAGTTGAAGAAAACAACTCGAAGAGGCATTTCACTCTTGGATCGAGTTATGCTTACTCGACAGAGTAGGGGGGACTAGATGATATAGGATATTATACTGGACCCGGTTAAATGGATAAAGCGGATACATTTTAGAAGATAAGCCCACTAAGACGTCCAAGCCCAACATTATGGGCCAAGCTCATCTTGAGCCCACGAAGGTACACTCCCCCTATTAAAGGGGGGCCAAGGTACCTTATTTTTATTCTCTTCTCATTCCACTACTACACTCTCTCTATCCTCTCTTCATTACATTACTACACTTTATCTCTCTCTTGATCTGAGCACTGACTTAGGCATCGGAGGCCCGACGCCGGGGCCACCCGGCGTTGGGTTCTGCAGGTACGGAGGCCGGTTCGAGTTGAAGGAGCCCGGGTGAATCTTATTCACTTCACACAACTTCTACCTTCTGAGACCAAAAAACCAACAAACCCCCCCTAGACCCAACTGAATCAACACAAGCCCACCTATCATTAATAAGCAAATTTTTACAAACAGTTTTAATAAAAGATTTTTTCTTTTTAGTTTCTGATAAAAAAACAAAATCAGGAAGGTAGGCCCTAATGGAAGCCTTCAGTTGGGGAATTGTAGAGGGTCCTCCCAGACCTCTACAATTCCACACCTGAACCTTCATTTGGAAACTTGGGACCAGTTATGGCTGGTAACCTCCACCTTAGAAGAAGCAATCTCCACATCTTGCTTAAGTTTTTTCCCTTCAGACTCAAAATAAGATATATCTAACTGCTCAAACTCAGTTTGTTTCCTTTTAAGACTTGGGTTCACATCCTGATCCATAACACCACTACTTTCACTATGCCTATCCCCCTGCTTTATCTCTATCCCTTTGCTTCTAGCAATTCTGACAAAAGGTCTATTGCCTTTACTAGTTGGGGGCTTCTCTGACACTTGCTGAATAGGGATATTAGACACTTGCTGAATAGGGATATTGGAAAGCTCATTACCCTCAGCTTCCTTAACTTGACTACTATCAAGAGCCATGGGTTCTACACACACCATCTCCTGCCCCACACTCCTCACTTCATCCCCCTCACCCCCCTCTTTGCAGTTCAGAATCAACTCAGCATCACTAATGAGGGCCTCTTTGATATTGCTCCTATCCCCCTCTCTCCCCTTATTCCCTGCCCCCTCCACAATGCCCACCTCACCCACAACACTCAGATTGTTCTCAGCATCCCCTGATTTTCTGGCTTTACTAGACTCAGAATTCAAGTTATCCCCAGAAGGGCTACCAGATTTTCTCTCCCTGGCTTCAAAAAAACCCCCATTATACCCCCTAAGCCAATCCCCAAATTGCCCAGTTCTCAAACAGTTCCTTTTTAAATCAGAAGTTTTAATTTCACAATGCTTATCATTATGCCCAATGAAACAACAATAAAAACAGAAAGTTAAGAGATTTTCATACCTAAAGTCAATCCAATGCTCTTCATCTCCTAACTTAATTTTTGTGCCCCTCACAATAGGCTCAGACACATTTACTTCTGTAAGGATTCTTATAATCCTCCCACTTGCTCCTCCAGCACCTGGAATATTCACAGCTGTCACCTCCCCAAAGAGTTGCCCTATCTTCGATCCAGTTTCTTCAGAGATCCAGTGGAGTGGTAAGTTATGAATTTGAACCCACAAGGCAACCCTCAGCTCCTCCTTTCTGAATTCCATTGCATTCTTTTGCCATTGTTTAAGTATTAGGTACTGGCCGTCGAAGGACCAAGCTTTTCCTTTAAGGACTTTGGCTTTATCCTCTTCGGACCGAAACAGAAATTGAAAGGAATTTGTACCAAGGGCTCGAACAGAAAAAGGCCTACTGAGCCTCCAGATGATCCCCATCGTAGTCTTTAACCCACTAAGGTTCACTTTTTTATCCCCTATCATCGTACCAATAAGGCTAAGCTCACATTCGTTAACCCCCGGCTCAACGTCAACCATAGATAAAGTCACTCCGGTTTTCTCCCTCTCCGACAAAGCAAATCTATCAAGCTTATCGATAACCTCCTGCTCCATGACGCGCGAAGACTGAGGAGATCTCACACAGGCCGTGGATGATTGTTTGTCGCGCAGTCCTGCATAAAGAAAAGAAGACCTAGGTTAAAACCCCAAATAAACCAAACCCTAGAAAGGTCCAAAAGCTCCAACCACCCCAAAGACCAAAACTCCTAAACAGAGAAACTAGATCCAAAGGGAGATGGCTAGATCGGGGATGAAACAGAAAACAAAGACTCCAAAATCAAAATCCAAAAAGATGGAACTGGAAAACTCTAAAAGAAGAGAGGGACTTTTCCACAGAGGAAAACTAACTTTTCTCTCTTTTAATGAGCGCTAAGTCTAAAAAATAATGGGAAATTTCTTAAAAAATCTCCAAACCACTTTTTCATTTCCTTCTCAGTCCCCACACAAATTTTTTTCCTCTATATTCTCTACCCTCTTAATTATCTTCCTTTTAACTCCCTCTTCTTAAAATAAATCAAAAATAAATTAACTTATTACATCACCCCACTACCAAATTAACTTTACTTATTATTATTATTTTATTATTTCTCTCTCTTCCACTACAATCTACCTTAATTTTTTATTATTTTTTTTCTCTCTCTCTTTCTATATACTAGTACAGTACCGTGTGATGCACGGGGTTTATCATCTCCGTTCCTTTTAAAAAGCAACTTTCAGTTAAAATTCAAAGTACTTACTAAAGGAAATATCATGTATTTAATAATTAATAAATTAACAAATATAATGAAAAATAAATCTATATATTATTGAACATTGCCTTATATAAAACGTTCATGATTTGATTCTTTGGCACGTCATCGTCGCCACAAATTAGGATTTTTAAAACATTTCTATTTGTAACACGGGAGATAATAACATACAACTGCTATGTCAAATCACTGGTTTCTTAAGAAATAAGCACACATAAAAATGATTTCATGCTCTTATTTATAGTCATGGCATAAGAAGGAGTTATAGTCATTCTTGAAATCAACACTTTATCATATGTGCTATAGCCAGTGAATATCTTATGCCCGACAACGTGAGTGGAGAACTTTGTCACAGCCAATCATGTTCCATTACACAAAACCATAAAAGTGACATATTACAAAATATCAAGTTAAAAAAGAACGGATTAGCTTAAGAAAATAAGATCATGCTTATCAATGTGATATAATGTTTACCAAAATTTATAGAATTTGTTACAATTTTATTTCGTAAGGCTTTTTGGATTGATTGAAAAATAACATTTTTATTTTGATATGTATCATTTATCAAATCTCGAGATTTTTTCAACAAATTTAACTCAAAACAATTTGAAAAAATTGTGAAATTTGTTACCAAAAGAAATCCAAAAGATTTTCGGCAATATATTGTGTGTAAATAACTATAAAGTGTGTTACACAAAAAAATAATATATGAAAAAATTTGTTATCACAATCGGATCAAATTTGTTAACAAAATTCGAGATTTGTTATCAAAATAAGATCGAACTTGTTACCGAAATCCGATATTTGTTATTAAAATCCAATCAAATTTGTTATTAAAATCCGATTACATTGGTTGACATGTGGGGCCCATTGATAATACTTATATTAATAAGTCAATAATTAATCTTTTATTTTGAAGATTATGTGCTATATCGATGTGACATAATGTTTACCAAAATTAATAGAGTTTGTTACAAATTAATTTAATTTGGTAAGGTTTTTTGGATTGATTGAAAAATAATATTTTATTTTGATATGTATCATTAATCAAATCTCTAGATTTTTTTCTGCAATATTTAACTCCAAACAATCCGAAAACATTGTAAAATTTGTTTTCAAAAGAAATCCCAAAGATTATCGGCAATATATTGTGTGTAAATAACTATAAAGTGTGTTACCAAAAAAAACAATATATTAAAATATCTGTTATCAAAATCCGAGATTTGCTATCACAATCCGAGATTTGTTATCATAATCGAATCAAATTTGTTAACAAAATCCGAGTTTTGTTATCAAAATTAGATCAAATTTTTTACCAAAATATGAGATTTGTTATCAAAATCCGATCAAACTTGTTACCCAAATTCAATTAAATTAGTTGCATATGGGGGCCATTGATAATGCTTATATTAATAAGTCAATAATTAACATTTTATTTTGAAGATTGTGGGCAATATCAACGTGACATAATGTTTACCAAAATAAATAAGTTTGTTACAATTTAATTTGGTAAGGCTTTTTGGATTGCTTGTAAAATAATATTTTTATTTTGATATGCATCATTTAACAAATCTCGATATTTTTTCTGCAATATTTCATTCAAAACAACCGAAAAAATTGTGAAATTTGTTACCAATAGAAATTCCAAAAGTCGGTAATATATTGTGTGTAAATAACTATAAAATGTGTTACAGAGAAAAGTGATATTTTAAAATGTTTGTAATCAAAATCCAAGATTTATTATCAAAATCAGTCAAATTTGTTAACAAAATCCGAGATTTATTATCAAAATAAGATCAAATTTGTTACAAAAGTCCGTGATTTGTTATCAAAATCCAATCAAATTTGTTACCAAAAATCGATTAAATTGTTTGACATGTGGGGCACATTGATATTGCTAATATTAGTAAGTCAATAACTAATTTCTTATTTTGAAAATTATGTGTCATATCAATATGACATAATGTTACTAAAATTAATTGGGTATGTTACAATTTAATTTGGTAAGACTTTGTGGATTGATTGAAAAATAATATTTTTATTTTTACATGCATCATTTATCAAATCTCTAGATTTTTTCTGCAATATCTAACTCAAAACAATCCGAAAAAATTGTGAATTTTGTTACCAAAATAAATCCAAAAGATTATCGACAATATATTGTGTGTAAATAACTATGAAGTGTGTTACAAAAAAAAATATTATATTAAAATATTTGTTATCAAAATTCGAGATTTGTTATCAAAATAAGATCAAGTTTGTTACAAAAATCCGAGACCTGTTATCAAAATTTGATCAAATTTGTTACCAAAATCCGATTAAATTGGTTGGCATGTGGGGCCCATTGTTAAAGCTTATATTAGTAAGTCAACAATTGATCTTTTATTTTGAAGATTATGTGTCATATTAATGTGATATAATGTTTACCAAAATTAATGGAGTCTGTTACAATTTAATTTGGTAAGACTTTTTGGATTGATTAAAAAATAATACTTTTATTCTGATATGTATCATTTACCAAATCTCTAGATTTTTTCTGCAATATTTAACTCTAATCTATCCCGAAAAAAAATGTGAAATATGTTACCAAAAGAAATCCCAAAGATTATCGATAATATATTGTGTGTAAATAACTATAAAGTGTGTTACAAAGGAAACCGTTATTTAAAAAGTTTGTTATCAAAATTCAAGATTTGCTATCACAATTCGAGATATATTATCACAATCAGATCAAATTTGTTAACAAAATCCGAGATACGTTATCAAAATAAGATCAAATTTGTTACCAAAATTTGATTAAATTGGTTGACATGTGGGGCCCATTGATATTGCTTATATTAATAAGTCAATAATTAATTTTTTATTTCGAAGATTATGTGTCATATCAATGTGACATAATATTTACCGAAATTAATAGAGTTTGTTACAATTTAATTTGGGAAAGCTTTTTGGATTGATTGAAAAAAAAAAATTATTTTGATATGGATCTTTTATCAAATATCGAGATTTTTTCTGCAATATTTAACTCCGAGCAATCCAAAAAAAATTGTGAAATTTGTTACCAAAAGAAATTTCAAATATCATCGGCAATATATTGTGTGTATATAACTATGTGTCTTCAAAAAAAATATATATTAAAAGATTCACTATTAAAATCCGAGATTTATTATCACAATCTGATATTTGTTCTCACAATCAGATCAAATTTGTTAATATAATCTGAGATTTGTTATCAAAATTTAATCAAATTTGTTACCAAAATTCGAGATTTGTTATCAAAATTCGATCAAATTTGTTACCAAAATCTGATTAAATTGGTTGACATGTGGGGCCCATTCATAATGACTATATTAGTAAGTTAACAATTAATCTTTTATTTTAAAGATTATGTGTCATATCAATATGACATAATGTTTACCAAAATTAATAAGAGTTTGTTACAGTTTAATTTAGTAAGACTTTTTGGATTAATTGAAAAATAATATTTTTATTTTGATATGTATCATTTAACAAATCTCGAGATTTTTTCTTCAATATTTAAGTCCAAACAATCCAAAAAAAAAATTGAATATCTTATGATTAATTTTATAGCTAATTTGTGTTTGAATTTAAATATATATCAAGCCGTGAACATAAAATTAGATGTTTTCAATATTTATAGCATCTTTTCATAATTTGAATTCAAATTGAAAGCTCGCCGCCCATTAAAAAAATCGAAAAAAATATATGAATAATAGTAAGAATGACATTTATTGGTGAGATTTTAGTTACTTTTTAAATAAATTTCTATTCCTATTATATATTTATAAATTTTCTTTTAAAAAAAATAAAAAAATAAAAAATATACCAAATTCAATTACTACCCATTAATTATTTGAACATTTGTTGTTAAATGCTTTCCAAATTATTTGATTTTTATTTACCAAAATTATTTGATTCCTTATTTTGATTTTTGATAGACCAAAATTTTTGGTGGGATATCAATTGATTTTGTTCTACCAAAAATTGATTATTTGTAGTAGAAAAAATACGTTTTTAATATACTTGTAGTACAAAAATCAAATAATTTTGGTAACTACATTTGATTATTCATGTTCAAATCTCACATTTTTTTAATTTTTGAATAACCAAATTTATAGATTTACCAAAATATGTTTTAATATGTGTATTATGTTTAAGTCTCACATGTTTCAAATTCAAATCATTTTTAAATTTTAAGGGATATCAATGATTTCAATTTTCGAATCTAAAAATTTGTAAATTCAAAAAAATTCACAAGATTTAGTTAGGAAATATAAAAAGGATCAAATTAGTTACCAAAAAATTTGACTTGTCAATATCCTATCAAATTATCCAAATTTTATACAATTAATCACGTGTGTATTTTTTTCATTACTAATAATAGAACCATTTATTTTTGTAGTCAAACTTACTATTTTATTATTTTTCCAACAACCGCTTTATATTACTACAGATTAAAGAGAAATTATGCAGACATTTGTGAACAAATCAATTCCTAAAATTCGTATCAATTTGGACTTGGAGTCTCGATAAATAATATGGTGAACATAATGTTAAAAAAAAAAGAGTTTGTTAAGGAGTTTGTTGAAGATAATTTTTTTAACAATATTAGAAACGTGATGTCGGTTGTTATTTGGCAGTCCCTACTTTTCTGGGAGGTGGAAATCGAGAAAT